TAGGAAGACATTCAAGAGGCTTACTTTAAAACAAAAATTTTAAAAGATTTTCACTCACATAGAACATAAAGGTAACAATTGGAACTCCAACCCAACACAATTTGGCCTTAGGTGAGATTGTTTAAAACTAAAAATGAGACTAAATCAGAACTAACCCAGAATGAAACTTTTTAAAATAGATTTCATTTTACCAGATTGAAAACCAGGACTAAACCTGGTCTGAACCAAGTCTGAACCAGGACTAAACCTGGTCTGAACCAAGTCTGAACCAGGACTAAACCTGGTCTGAACCAAGTCTGAACCAGGAATAAACCTGGTCTGAACCAGGACTAAATCAGGTCTGAACCAGGACTAAATAGACAAGCTAGGATTTAACAGTGACCTTGTTATCATTGTTAGCTAGTAATGGAAAATAGTTACAGCTATTCATTTTAAAAGGAATGCAAAGACAACATCTGCTTTCTTTCAATAAACCCACAACCACCTAACAAATCTGAGTAAATGTAACACGACTGATTGTTTTAGTAATAATATCATATATATTCATGTCGAATCCTCTTGTAGTACATATACAGATATTTATTGTCCCTCATTTCTGTGGCTTCATTCAGTTTAGTATATAAAGCACTGGGACAGCAGGCAGTGGGTACGGGTGGTCAGTGGACTGCTTTGGCCTCTCTCCAGTGGCTCTCTGTTGCTTTGGCAAAATATACAAATATATAAATAACAGTAATGTGGATATTAATAAGTTATTTTTAAATAATTCAATATGCACTTATGGATTATGTGAACCTAAATCAATTTATACTCACATCAGACTGTGATTCATCCTGAGACAAGTCCATCTGCAGCTCATCCTCAGCTCTTCTACAAGTGGTTGTCCTTCTTGTTCTTCTTGAAGACTCAGGTGGAGGCCTCAACAATCACCTGGATCAAAGACCTGACAAACAGACCACAGTTTGTGAGACTGAAGGACTGTGTGTCTAATCAGGTGGTCAGCAGCACAGGAGCACCACAGGGAACTGTACTCTCACCATTCCTGTTCACACTGTACACTTCAGACTTCCAGCACAAGTCAGACTGCTGTCYTCTACAGAAATACTCAGATGACTCTGCAGTTGTTGAGAGTATCAGAGATGGACAGGAAGCTGAGTACAGAGAGCTGGTGGACCGCTTTGTGACATGGTGTGGGAACAATCATCTCATCTTTAATGTCAACAAAACAAAGGGGAGTGGAAAATAGCGGTTGAAGCGTGAGTGCCTTCCAAACATTCTAAATACTGTAGGAGTTTTTATTAGGTGTGTGTGTGTGTGTGTGTGTGTGTGTGTGTGT